GCCAAAGTCTTACATAGCCTCGAGCTCACTAGACTCTAATGGAACAATAATAATAATACTCAGGCCCAATGGTTCGTTCTGAAAATTTCAAGAGATTGCCCGCGCGTTGCACGGGCCTTGCACCCCAAGGGAAATGCCCACCCTAAGGGCAATGAATCACTTTAGTTGCAAGTTTTAGTATATTTATATAGGATTTTAGATAGAATAATTAGCTATTTCTTAGAGTAATGTTCTAAGATGCTCCCTAGTCATTTTAAATACAGCCACTTTATACGTCGCTGTTGTAGTCGCGATTATAGTTGTTGGGACATGTATTGGGATCGAGTTGACAACACTGGTCTTACCTCGGTCTTGCTACGGACGTACAAGTCTCAGCAGGGGCATACGAGTCTCAGCAAGGGAGCACACGTCTCAGCAGTGGCAGGCCTGCCTGCTACTGCTGAGTAAGTATATAGCTAACGTCCGTCCCTGTGGGTCGAACATCCCCCCGCAACGAACCACGAATGTTGTCTAACTACGTTGTACCCACCTTGTACGATCGTATAGAGTTAACTAATTATTTTATGTCACATGCCCTCCGCGTGCCCCGCATCGACGCCTTCCAAAGTTTTCCCGCCCAGCTTGTCTCTTTCGAACGCGACATCCAATCCACACGTGAAGCTCTGCTTATTGCTTTGAGCTTACCCCTATTCGACTAGCTCAGAGATCGAAATTATGTTAGCACTGCTGATTGGCGCATCAGATACAGAGGTACCAGGCCGTGTGGCGATCACGCACGAATCGGTTCACCGACCAGCCCTTACCGCTGGTGAGCAGGCTTGGACAATTCTATTAGATACCTAGACGTATACAGAAGCGATAGATGCGTTGCGACGGATAGAACTGATGGTGGTGGTCGTATAACTCGTGAGGCGCATTATTGGGATGAAGCAGGTGTCTTCGCACATCTAGAGGGAAGGTATCTACACGATTGTAATTTTTGTATTAGTGGGCATGCATCGACTCAGAATCAACCCTAGTATATACCTAGGTAGGCTAACATAATTATTACGATGATTGCAGGCTATGATGTTGCTGCAAAGTCAAAGTACCTATAATTTTGTCCGTTACGGCGGTTGTTCCGTTGCAAAGGGATGTACGTTACTATCGAAGCTGCATCAACGCTTAGTACACTTTCTCTGTTCCCAAAGGCAAAGACTGCACTGCTCTCTCCTAAAGCTTACAACGCCCCGTTCTCCGCAGCATCGGAAAATAAGTGGACTTACGACCACTCTACAGGAGGCCATGGTGGATTCTTTTCCAGAAATGCGGTTCGAAGTCGACCGAACCAGATTTCATCTTCAGCTCCACTGGCGCAACCTGCGGGCAATCGAACGGGAACAGGCTTAACACTTATCAGCTTCCAGGAACTGGTTAAAATAGCCGCTTCCTCTCAAGCTAGTGAATATCCAAACGATACCGCAACAGACCACCCATCAGACAGCGGAGACACGTCTGAGAAGCTTCTAAAGCCTAGCCCACCTCCTCAATATGCGGCTAAAGCAAATCTACGTAGCTCTTCTCCAGGATCTTCAACTACTCATCTGCTTCCTGAAACACGTGGGAGTTTATCTAAGAATACATTCCCTCAATCCGGTACTAGGGAAGAGCCAATTCTTATTGATGATTTGATGGATAAAGATGATAGAGAGCCCAGTCAGCAAGTCCTTGATCTGGTGGATGATGACGGTGAAGACACAGAACTTGATGAAGATTTTAACTTAATGCAGTATCCGTTCTGCAAAAACATGCGACAGACAACTCCGGAAGAAGGAACGCCAACGGCAGGCGATCAAAGGCCCAAAGATGCCCACAGGCGCTCGCTTCGTGGTGTCCGCACCTCTGCACAATGCGCAGGCTTTCTTGACGGGAAGAAACCTGTTGACAACATGTTGGAAGAGATATCGGATATATGGAACAACGTGCAAGCTCAATGGATGGAGTTATACAGCAAGCCTTCGATGAAGATAGGAAACAGCATGGGCCGATTCAATACGAAGATATGCAAGGCCGATGAAAAGTTCAGATTAGAGGGGATCTGCCCTGAGCATGTGCGGGTATTGGCAAGAGACTGGGATCTCGTTCATCAATTGGTGTATTCGCGAATCGAGCGCCGATCTGAGAGAAGACTTATGAATCGCTTCAAGAGAGAGATGCGCAGGTTGAAGAGAGCCTCGAAAGTGCTAAAGAACTGTGACCCTACGACTAGGGCCGACGTGGAAGACGATAATGAGAATGATATGGACTGGACTCCAAATGGGAAATGAACAGGTGTTTAGTAGCGGTTTTTCTATGTTATGTTTCTGGTTTTTTTGTATGCATTTTACCCATTTTGATCTTGTTTTTTTTCCTTGCTTTTCTTTTCGTCTAGAGTGTTACGGTCTAAGAAGCTCTGACTGACCTTCCTTGTATGCTTACTCAGAGTTGTTTCCATGTTGTTCGACTCCCTGGAAGCCCCCAAGACGCCACAAGCACTCATTTTCCTTCCCGATTGGAGGCAATCGATTCTCGAACAGCACCTCAGTTTTAATCTTTTCGGGTTCTCTACATGCTTAAGGGGCGATCAACAACCCCGCATTTAGCTGTTCCTGTAGCCATGTAAGTAGGTTGTAAAATTATGAAAAAGAAACATGTAGCATGCAACGCACCCGTAGTTGGCGAAGATGACGAAGCTCATCCGTGAGAGCTTCAATATCGAGCTTGAGATTTGAGTTTTGCGTTCTGTGCTCGTCAAGCGCAGTATATGCTATGCGGGAGTTCTCTTGCCACTGTGCAAGCTCATTATTGAGTCGCCATACTTGGGCTTCAAGTTCTGTGCGACGAGCTAGTTCTGAGCATAGCCCACTACGTGTCTGGTTATGATTCCATATCTCCCATTCTAGAATCTGAGATAGTTGGAGATAGAGGTTTGGTTGCGGTTGCGGTGTGGCCTGATTGCTTGGTGGTTGCAAGGGTGCTGGCCAGGTTGGATTGCTGGGTTGTTCAACAAGCTGATTGGTCGCATCAGGATGTTGATGACGCAACGGGTGTAAAGTGGGCCACGTGACTTGAGCTTCGTCCATGATCACTAGCTTGGCAATGATTGGTAATGTTGGTAGCGAGTAAAAGTAGAAATAGCAAGCTGATGGAGTATGTCACAAAGAGTTCATAATGGACGCTTTTATGTGTACGTGCCAGTACCCTTAGGCAGATGCCAGTTTCTTGTGCCTGTACCCGTAGCTTCGTTTCGGTACACAGCCACCAGGTTACGTCAACTCATCCCAGAGTATGTCCCCTGTTTTCAGCAGAAGCGCAGGTGTTTGCGTATCTCTGAACCTCTACACAGCATCATTATTATTTATCTAATGTTTGCCTTCACAACACTACACAAGGGAAATGACACCCTAGTTTTCACAAGAGGAACAGGATTAACATGACACCAAAAAGCATTGAAGAGGCTTTCCAGCGGCATCCAAGACCGCAAGTACCCACGAAAGCAGCAATATCCCAGCGGCTTACCGTACCTACGAAAGGAGCACTACTACAGCGAGCGAAAGAAGATGAAAAGCGCCGTGCTTTACTGCAGACAGTCAATGAGAGCCCTTGGACAATGTTAACTCGACATGGTGAATTATTGCAAGGAAAGTCCGTGCGGTCGATCTGCGTTAGTCAGGGAAAACTCGTCATGATTAAAGAAATAGCCAGCATAGCGGGCCGCCGACAGCTTGAGATGTCAAAGAAGCTATCCGAACATTCACACGTCTCTACCATCCAAAAAGCTTTCGAAGCTGAGAATCTGATCTACGTTCAGCTTGAGTACTCTAAGTATACACTAGAAGAAATTCTCAATGTTCACATTTGCCTTGAGGAAGCGCACATACGAGTGATAGCAAGTGCAGTAAAGTACCTTTCTATCATTTTGAGTAATTTGCGGTGGCTAAAAGTGGCAGATATTTCTTGCAATACAGCATATAGCTAAAAATGGTGTCATACACAACGCTATTTCAATTTCCACGATACGGTTTTGCAGCACTGGAAAGCCTGTACTAGCTGACTTCGATGACTTTTCATATATGACTACGGAGCATACCCCGAACAAGGATCTTGGTTGCCTTGCACTCGCAATTATTGAATGCATGAACGGAACACCAAAAAAGGAATTGCGAAATCTCGAGGAGGTGCGTCGCCTACGAGACTCCAACAAAACTTTTGGCCTTGATAATGGCGAAAAATGGAGTGGCTATAAGCTATTGATAGACTTTCTTGACAGCATGCTTGATATCGATATCTTGGCTACCTTTAAGCTTAAAAGACCTGTAAGCACAACCTCATCCAACTTATTCCAGTGCTAACAATAGAAGCATCGGTATGTTGAGCGCGAGCCAGGTTACAGTATTCTGATTCCGTTCCTGGAACTGGTGCCGCTTGAATGCTTCACCCTTTGGCGCGCAGCAGCGGCTAAGCAGTAGAGTGGCGTTGATCTAGATTAGCGTGTTTCAGCAGGTCCCGTGGGCGTGTAATCTTAGACTATTAACTCTATTGGCGACATCTAAGCGCTTAACGCTGCTAAGCCTTCAGGCAGTGGACTATATGTAAAACACAGCAACACATGTTAAATCACTTCTAAAGCATACTCACTAAGTTGAACACCCAACGTATCGTGAATCAGAAGTCAAATTGCTAAGATGTCGTCCGCACCTTCCCAATCCACCCACCAAGATGACTCTTGGGAGAAAATGTTCAGTTTCGACCCAACCAAGAGCCCATTTCTCCCTCAGTCAAATGTCGGGCCTTGTCCGACAAGCCTCAATTCGAACCTGGATATATTCTCTGCTCAACCTCTGTTCCTTCCCGAGTCGTACCTTCCACAGCCGAACTACTACCCGGACCATCCAGCACCGCAGATACAAATTGCTTCAATGTTACCGTATGAGTCGGCATCGGGGTTCGATTTCGTGGAGGGAAATACTCAAAGTAGCACGTTTGATGCGATCCGTGGTGACCTTGACAAGGTCATCATGTCAGTCTGGCAGCTTAAGAATGACTATCAAACACGAATTGTGCATCTTGACAAGTAAGTCTTTTGATTCAACACCTCGGTAGATGTTAACAGAAAGATAGCGAGGTTGCAAAAGCTTCCGAAGCGGCAGAAACCCTACGGAAGGACGTGGATGCTATCGGAGATTGGGTGCAGCAAGTGGTTGCATTCCTGAATGGTGCGGACGACCCTGTCGAACTACCATGCACCGAGCAACCAAATGAGGCGCAAGAGGACCCAAATCCGGCTGGAGATAACCAGGCACAGTGATCCGGTATCTTGGGAGCAGAGATGTCAACAATCAAGCTGAGTCAAGCTCATCAATCAAGCTGGATTGACTCAATGGTCAAGCTGAGTCAAGCCAAGCTTATCAAGCTGTATCAAGCTGTATCAAGCTCGTCAAGCTTATTAAGCTGAGCTTGATAGAGCTTGATGAGCTTGATACGCCCGTGCGTAAAAAAAGAGAATAACTATGAACTCCTTTACGTAGGCTACTAATCTATAGTAACGTTAACTCTTACCTCTATCTCTAATACTATACGTGTCAATTTATTATATATATCTTCTTATCTTACCAATTTCTTGATTGCAAGCATGCCACCAAAAAGACGCGTCTAAGCTATTGTTGCTACCCCACCGAAGCGGTCTCGGGGCGTGCCCCGCGGTACTCTAAGCCAGCCTATATCTATCGAAAGCCCGCCATCATCCTCTCGCTTATCACCTCGTCAAGCTCTAGTTGAAGCGTCCCAGGTATCGAGCTTCGAAGCGCGGCTGCGACGAAACGCAGGCTCGAGAAGCTAATCACTCCCACCCG